TGCCGGGATGCCCAAACGTAAGAGCACAGAGGCGCTCCCTAGCCCACTCAAGAGCTAGGTTACGTTTGGGCACTGTACGCCATAGCTCTCACACAGCTATGGTGCCCGGCAGGGTAAGCACCACGTTGAAAGATGGACTTCCAGGGTTAAACGCTGCACTCCACTCGACCGCAAGTCAACAATCGGGCGCCGCCACCGCCACTATCGTTGTCGCACCGTTAACGCTCTTTTTCGCGCGGTCCTTTTTTCAGTTTCTATTTAATTTGTGTTGTCTTTTTTTTTTTCTTTTATCTTTTTTAGCGAACAGCTTATGCGGTAGCAGTCGGCTACGGCGAAAAAAAAAAGGGGACAAAAAAAAAAAGCAGTCGGCCACTGCTGACGTCCGTAGGGATGGTTGTCCAGGGAGGGCCTCGCTCCACCGCTCGCAAAATGTGCACAATGGGAATGAATCTTCCGCTAGAACATGGAAAGATGCGCCAGCATAAGTTTTGTCGTCTCTGCATTTAGTGAGTCATGAAGCGAGGCGAGTGGGCAGGTGCAAGAAAGGAGCAGAAGCAGCAGTGGTAGTAGAAGGAAGCAGCAGTGGTAGTAGAAGGGAGAGAGTGAGGAGGAGGAGGAGGAGGAGCAGGAGGAGGAAGACAAGGGCGGGGAAATCACACAAGCGGAAGGAAGAGGAAAAAAAGGGCATACTCACACTAACACTCTGTTTTTCGTATTTCTCTGGACGCAATTGCGGCCAGATGCATACAGGTCCGGCCGTAAATGCGGTCATAAACATTTACTGTAGTGCGAGTGTGAGTACGGTCAAGTGGGGGAGGAGGAGGGCAAGCGGCGGACGAAGAAAGAAGTGGGAGGAGGAGGAGGAGGAGGAGGAGGAGGAGGAGGTGAAAGAGGAGAACGAGCGGGGTGTAGAAGAAAGAGGGGGGAGGCAGAAATAAGGAAAGAAAGAAAACCAGTTGAAAAAGCAAAGGAGAAGGAGGACGGGGACGAGGAACAGGAAGAAGGAGGGAGGAGGAGGGAGGAGGGAGGAGGAGGAGGAGGAGGAGGAGGAGAAAGGCGGAGGAGGGGAAGGAGGGGAACGAGGAGGAGGAGGGATGTGATATGTATGCTTGATATAAGGCGTAGTCGCAGCAAGAGTAGATATAGGTGGAGTAGGACTAGGACTAGGAATAGGGGGAGGAGGAGGAGGAGTAGGACTAGGAGGAGGAGGAGGAGGAGGAGGAGGAGGAGGAGTGATATGTAGGATTGATGTGTTGTGTGTTCAACTTTGGTACGGCTATCTGATAATGCTGGATCTGTATGTTCGTTGAAACTTCCCCGTGATCTCAGTAAGATTTCGAAGACAGCAAGAGGGAGGGAAGGGAGAGGAGGAGGAGAAGAGGGGAGGAGGGGAGGAGGGGAGGGAAGGAGGAGGAGGAGGAGGAGGAGGAGGAGGAGCAGGGCTCGACAAAGCGAGGAGGAGGAGGAGGAGGAGAAACGACGAGGAATTGTGTGGAAAGTCAGTTTATTAAAAAAAAAAAAAAAAAAAAAGGAAGTTGAATTCGGTTCATCTCATCTCGCACCTGTCAAGAAGAGTGGTTGACGTCAACAAGAAACAAGATCGTCGACATGTGGTGAAAGGTAAGTCCTGCAATAGTTTTTTTTTTTTTTTTTTTTTTCGAAACTGCGCATAGCGATGGCTTTGCTGTCTTTGTTCCCGTCTTCACTATTCGCTGTTCTT